GAGTTAAACAGAGAGAGAAGTAGAGGCAGAGAGAGAAAGGTTTTCCATCTGCTGGTTCACTCCCCAATTGGGAGATTCTTCCAGATCTCCCATATGGGTGCAGGGACCCAAGGACCTGGGCTATCTTCTACTGCTTTCCCAGGCAACAGCAGAGAGGTGGATCAGAAGTGGAGCAGCCAGATCTCGAACCAGCACCCATAAGGGATGCCTGCACTGCAGTTGGTGGCTTTACCCGCTATGCTACAGTGCCGACCCCCATGTCCATTTTTGATATTTTTTTTCTTTTCTTGAGTTTTAAAACTTCTTCATATATTAAGATACAGGTCACTGGCCAGATGTAGCATTGGCAAATATTTTCTCTTAATTCTCTGCACTACTTTTGATTTTCTTGATAGTAGATAGTATCCTATTTTTTTTTTTTTTTTTTGGACAGGCAGAGTTAACAGTGAGAGAGAGACAGAGAGAAAAGTCTTCCTTTTTCCGTTGGTTCACCCCCCAAATGGCTGCCATGGCCTGGCGTGCTTGTGCCGATCCAAAGCCAGGAGCCAGGTGCTTCCTCCTGGTCTCCCATGCGGGTGCAGGGCCCAAGGATCTGGGCCATCCTCCACTGCCCTCCCGGGCCACAGCAGAGAGCTGGACTGGAAGAGGGGCAACTGGGACAGAATCTGGCGCCCCTACCGGGACTAGAACCCCAGGGTGCCGGCGCCATAGCGGAGGATTAGCCTAGTGGGCTGTGGCGCTGGCCTGATAGTATCCTTTTGATACTGTGTAGGAGTAAATTCATTTTGGTATGTTGATTTTGTATCTGTAAACTTACTAAATTTGTTTACTACTTCTAATAGTTTTTTGGTAGATTACTTAAGATTTTCCACAGACAATTTCTGACTTACGATGGTTCAACCTTAAGTTTTTCAGCTTTGAAATGGTAGGAAAGCAATACATACTCAGTTGAAATAGTACTTTAAATTTTAGATATTCTATACTTTCTTACAGAATAATAGACTTTTTGTTAGGTGATTTTGCTCAACTGTGGGCTAACATAAGTGTTCTGAATATGCTTAAGGTAGGCTAAGCTAAGCTATTATGTTTGGGAGATTACAATATTAAATGTATTTTCAACATGATATTTTCATTGTGTAATGGATTTTAGAGGAGGTTGACCTCATTGTAAATCAAGGACTCTGTACCATATCATGTTATTCACAAATAGATATGGTTCTTTTTCCCCTACCAATTTGGGTGTCTTTTATTTCTGCTCCTGATTAATTGCCCTGGCTACACCCTCCAGTAAAATATTCAATAGGAGAAATGGGAAGGGCATCCTTATACCTGATTTTAGGGGAAGACATTTCATTCTTTCATGTTAATGATAGTGATGTTATCTGGGTTTTTTGTGGGCTCCGCTTGCCAGGTTGACATTCCTTCTGTTCTGAGTTGTTGAGTGTCTTTACCATGAAAGAATATTGGAGTTTGTCAAATGTTTTTCATCATCTTTCAACATGATTATTTGGTTTTTGTCTTTTATTCCACTGATAAGGAAGATTATATTGTCTTGGTTAAGATCTATTTGGCTACAATATATCCTGCTTTTCAGTAATGCTGCATTCCATTTGCTGAGGATTTTTGTATGTATATTTATAAAAAGTATTGGCCTGGAGTTTATTTTCTTGTGATGTCTTTGGTTTTGGTATCAAGGTAATACTAGTCTTGTCCTTGGAAAATATTCCCTCATCTTCTATTTTCTGGAATAGTTTGAAAAAGATTGGTGTTTAGTTTTTTAGCTTTTTGATAGAATTTACTAGTGAAAACAGCACTGCTTTTTCTTTTTTGGAAGTTTTAAACTTAACTAATTCAATCCTCTTCATTGTTACAGGTCTGTTCAGCTATTTTTTAGGGCAGTTTGCTAGATTGTTTCTAGGTATTGGTTTACTTTGCCTAAATTACCTAATTTATTGGCATACACTTAATAACATTTCCTTGTAATCTCTTTATTTCTGTAAAGTCAGGGATAATAGTCCCACTTTAATTCTTAAATTTTAGTAATTTGAGTCTTTGTTTGGTTTGTTTTGCTAAAAGTTACCCATTTTGTTGATCTATTCAAAGAACCAATTTTTAGTTTATTGATTTTTTTACAGCTTTCTTATCCTGTTATCTTTAAAAAGCATTAAAAGTAAGAAATATTGTATATTTACCCACATATTTATCATTTCCAGTACTCTTCATTTGTTTTTACTACCTGAGCTTCCATATGGTATTACACTTATTTGAAGAACTTTTTTATTATTTAACTCAGGTCTGTGGCAGTTAATCCTCTCGGCCTTGGTTATCTGAAGGAGTCTTTATTCTATTTTCACTTGAAATTTTTAAAAATTTATTTGAGAGGCTGACATGGAGAGAGAGAGTATGTCCTTACCTGCCAGTCTTCCCTCCATCCCCCCAAAACAACATCAAAAACAGATAGCCAGGGCTGGGCCAAGCCTTTGAGAGATATTTTGTAGGACATAGAATTTTAAGTTGATAGCGTTTTATTTTTTTCTTTCACTACTTCAGAGATGTTCTTGCATTCTGGCTTTAATAGGTTCTGATGAAAAATACTCTATAACTTATATCTTTGTTCTTTTCTATCTAATTCTTGTGTTTTTACTTTTGATTTTCCAAGATGTTTCTGTTTCTGTGTTTTTTTTTTTTTTTTTTTTCACCTTGCTTGGGATTAATTATGCTTTTGGGATCTGTGGTTGGTTTTCTTTCATGAATTTTAGAAAATTCTCAACATTTTACTTTTGAGAACTTTTTTTACTCTTTAATTTTTTTCTCCACTCTTGAGGCCCCAAATACACGTATTTAGTCTGATATTCTTTGACAGGTTTGGGATGCTGTGTTCTATTTTGCTTGTTTGTCCCTATCTGGTGGTTCTAGTATTTGGACTATTTCTGGTTCTGATTCTGTTGATTGCTTTAGCTCTTGACAGTGAGCCTTCTTCTGTTTCCCATCTTCTTATGTCTTATAAATATTTATTGAGTGTTAGCTATTATGTTTAACAGAATAATAGAGATGGAGGTTAAATGATGTGTATGTCCAGAAATGAATATATATATATTTTGGTCTATTTCTTAGTGTAGGAGTTTTCAACCAATTTGGTTAGTAGTTAGGTTTGAGCTGTGTTTTGTGCTCTTGTGTCTTGTTGTTGCTAATTAATTTTCAACAAGCTATAGACTTCAGATTTTTCTAGTGTTCCCTACTTCCTTGTGCCTGGTGTGGGATTTGGAGTGCTGGAGGGGTTTTTTTTAGGCCTTCTAGCTCCATTCCTAGCTTTCAGCATATCCAACACACCTGTACCCCATGAGGATCTCTCTCTCTCTCTCTCATTCTCTAAGAATTTATTTGGAAGGCAGAGTGACAGAAAGGTAGAAACAGAAGAGAGAGATCTTCCATCCAACAATTCATTCCCCAAATGGTGGCAACGGCGAGGCCTGGGCCAGACTGAAGCCAGGAGCCAGGAACTCCATCTGGGTTTCCCACAAGGGTGGCAGGGACCCTAGTACTTGGGCCATCATCATCTGCCTTTTTGTACTCTCAGCAGTAGATTGTTGTCATTTACCTTATTCAAGGCTGCTAAGAGAAAGACTGTAGATTTCTCCTGTTATAGGCAGGCTTAGGTATGCCTGAATGTCAGGGTCGGTATTCTTGATGTTCTCGAACCTTTCGCTCTTCCCCTTCTTGTTCCCTGTTCCCACCCTCACTCAACACCCAATCTGGTATCTAGGGATGAGCTGGACACCTAACAATAGCAGACTTTGGTTTTGTATCAGTGCAAGAACCTGAGCCCAGGGTCTGCAGTGTGTTGTGCCGTAGAAGGGTAAGCTTCCGCCTACAGTTTTAGCATCCCATAGGGAGCCATTTCGAATAGATTCGAGTCTCTGCTGCTTTGTTTCTAATCCAGCCCCTTGCTAATGTGCCAGGGAAAGCGGCAGAGGATGGTCCAAGTCCTTGGGACCCTGCCACTCATGTGGGAGACCCTGAAGAAGCTCCTGGAATGGCCATTGAGGCCCTTTGGGGAGTGAACCAGCGGATGGAAGATCAATCTCTCTCTGTTTCACCTTATTTCTCCGTATCTCTTTCAAATAAATAAATCTTTAAAAAAAAAAAAAAAAAAGAGCCTGGGACCAAGCAGGTTTCAGCCTTGCCACCAGTAGCAAAAAGCAGTTTTTTCTGACCTTTTTTTAGTGGTAGCTAACTTCTGCTATTGAGCAGAGCTTGGGCAGATGCCTACCCTTTGCCCGTAGCAGATGGTTTTTTACAAGTGTTCAAGGGTTTCCTTTCTAAAAGCTTAAAAATTATCCTTGATATCTTTCTATTTGTCATATCTAAATGTTGTTTCTAGAAGGATAATTCTTTTTTTTTAACTTTTATTTAATGAATATACATTTCCAAAGTACAGCTTATGGATTACAATGGCTTCCCCCCCCATAACGTCCCTCCCACCCGCAACCCCCCCCCCTTTCCCACTCCCTCTCCCCTTCCATTCACATCAAGATTCATTTTCGTTTCTCTTTATATACAGAAGATCAGTTTAGCATACATTAAGTAAAGATTTCAACAGTTTGCTCCCACACAGAAACATAAAGTGAAAAATACTGTTTGAGGACTAGTTATAGCATTAAATCTCAATGTACAGCACGCTAAAGGCAGAGATCCTACATGAGGAGTAAGTGCACAGTGACTCCTGTTGTTGACTTAACAAATTGACACTCTTGTTTATGGTGTAAGTAATCACCCTAGGCTCTTGTCATGAGCTGCCAAGGCTATGGAAGCCCCCTGAGTTCACTGACTCTGATAATTTTTAGACAAGGCCATGGTCAAAGTGGAAGTTCTCTCCTCCCTTCAGAGAAAGGTACCTAGAAGGATAATTCTTGATGAACAGAGGCTGAATGTTAGAATTTTAGACAAGGATTCCTATTTAGGTTTAATTATAATGTGCCAATGTGTTTGTTCTTTTCCAGCTTAGGCTTGATTTCCGACTCTTTTCACATGTTTTTCGATAGCACTGCCATTTTAGCTGGATTGGCAGCTTCGGTTATTTCGAAATGGAGAGATAATGATGCTTTCTCTTATGGGTAAGACTTCAAAAAAATCTTTTTATTGAAGTATAAGATATACACAAAAATAACACAAATAATAAGCTTACCAAAGTTTTAAAAATTGAATATGCTTGTATAATTCAAACTCTGAAACTTCTCTCATGCCTCTTCTAGTTCCTTCCCACTCACCTCCCCAAGGATAACCACCTTCGTAACTTCATGGGGTTGTTTGGCTCTTGAACAGTTTAAATGGGGCTGCATAGTGTGTGCTTTTAGTTGCACCTACTGCTTTTTGCCTAATTTGTGGGCATCTTGATTTTACAAAAAACATTTGGTGAAATTGTTCCCATATAGGGACATTTCTCAATTCTTTACCTTGTGTGTTTTTTTTTTTCATGAGAGCAAAAATTTCATTATATAAAAATTACCATATTTTTCTTCTTGAAGGAAAACTTTAGTATTTATTTATGATTTTATATAATACGATTTTAAATTACTCATCCAATTCAGCTCTTCTTTATATCAAATACTCCTTCCCTTAGACTAGCTGATTTGAACAATTAATCAAATATTTGGAAAGTATTTTTATACTAAGGGACTAAGCAGAGTTTGCTTTTTGCCACCTCTGATTGATGGAAATAATGGGTTTTCCACTATTTCAATTATGCTGCCTCTTTCCTCTTTTGAGCCCAAAGACTATTTTGCATTGTAGCATGTATAAACAGAGCTCAGGAATAATATCCTCTCCCCTCTCCCTTCTTTTTCCTGGTTTCCTCTCCTTCCTGTTCACTTGTTACTTCTTTTCCTCTATACTTTTCCCCGGTTATCCCTTTCTCTTGTGGGTGCTCTTTCATATGTTGTCGCTTCATCTGTCTTATTTTCTATTCATCTCTCACTTTGTTACTATCCTCATACTCCTCCTCTCTCTCAACCTTTCCTAAACTTCCTGCTTTATTCGCTTATTCTTTCGTTCTAATTACTTTGGTCTATGCTTGTGATCTCTCCCTCACTTTACCAACCTCCCACCCCCTAACACTTTTTCTCTAATTCTTTCTTTCCTTCTGCTCTTTCACTGCATCTCTTACCCTGTATCTTTCAGGTCCTTTTTAACTGTCTCATTTCTTTTTGCTCTCTCTTCTCCAGCCTCTTTCCTTCTTTCACTGATTCTCCTTCTCCTTTCCTGTGCAGTTATCCTGTTGTATCCTTTTGATCACACACATCGTCTTATTCTCTCTCATGTCCCTTGTTCTTTTGCTTTCCTTCATTGTTTCCTCTTTCTTTCCAGTTTTGGTTTGTTCTTTAGTGAGCACACACACTCTTTTACTGGCTTATATTCTTTACAGATAGTCATTGAAGATCCAATGTGAGTTGAATATTCTGCTGGTTCTAATGATACAAAGATGAATAAGATATGGCTCATGCCTTGGAAAAACTTGTGATCTCATTGGGAAACAGTTTTGTAAAAAGAACCATTGTAGCTATATATTGTGACAACTGCTAAAAGAGAGATAATGAAGTTCTGAGGAGAACTTGCTAATTTTACTTATGTAAGGCAAAAATGCTAATTATGCTTTTTTTTATAGTATAGAGCAAGAGCTTCTGTATATCTATAAATTCAAACAGCTTGATAGCTCAAATAAGAAAATTTTCTGTGATAATACTATTTTGGTGACTATCAAATAATCTTGGAATATAGTTACTAAAACATCATTAAATCTATTTCAAATCAGTTAAAGATTATATCTAAAGTTATAATCTAATTGGAAAATTAGCAATTCAAGTATGTTCAGAAATCTAATTAGAATGTCTTATTCAACAATCTTTTATTTTGCCACTTTTCTTTTTTTTTCCTTTTGGGAAAGAGTTAAGGTATAAAAAGCTAGTAAATATCTGAAACTATGAATAGTTGTTGTAGTTATAAGTAGCAGTAGTAGTAAAGTGCTGTTGTCAGTACATCAACATGAAACTGGATAGGCTAAGCTCTGTAAACTCCCAATTCAAGATGATCATAATAAAAGACTGACTGTCAGAAGAAGTACTAGCAGGGAAATTGGAATAAGTAAGGACTTTTCAGTATTTCTTTATATAAAAATCATCTTTGTGTTATGTCATACTTTTTTTTTGAAATGGAAGAGCCAGCATGAAAGTATTATCTATCCAGTTACCATGTAGGGGGTTGATGTATACATACATGCTTATTTAGATGTCGGTATATCTTAGCATCATTTTTTGCTCTGTCTGAAGTCTGCTAACAGCATCATACTTAATTCAGCAACAACACCTTCATGAATTGCATGTTCTAATTCCAAGACTCACTCTTTTCAAGTAAACAGTGTTTTGTAAAGGCAAGAGTGTCTAGTTTCCACAAGTTTTTCAATTTAAACTTATAACTACATTGTGAAAATATATTAAAACTACTGGATTACTTGAGTCCAACAATTTATAAAAATTTATGGAGCATACCCAGTAGGCTAGAAATTAAGAACAAGAACATACCTGAAAAACATTCTTAAAAAAAAAATAAGCTTTACTTATTTATTTATTTGAAAGACAGAATGATAGAGAAAGGGAGAGACAGAGATGGGGTGAGAGGGTGTTGGGAGGGATTTCTTCTGTCCTTTAGTTCTTTCCCCAGATGGCCACAACAAACAGCTCTAGGTCAGACTTTAGCCAGGAGCCAGGAACTCTGCTGTGGTCTTCATGGGTGGCAAAGGTACAAGGACATGGGCCATGAAGACATTCTTGCAATCTTGAAATCTAGTGGAATCTTGAAATCTAGTGGAACTCAAGGACAAAACACTTTCAATCAAATATTAACTATAGAACTAGAAGGGTAGATTAAAAGGAAATGCTTTCTATTTTTTAAGATAGTAACTCTGCTGATTTATTACATAAATTCCTAAGCTTAGAGGAAAGCATTATAGCATAATGTTTTAAGCTTCTGCTTGCAATGCTGGCATACTATATCCGAGCACCAATTCAAGGCTTGGCTACTTTGCTTGTGATCCAGCTCCCTATTAATGCTGCTTGGAAAGCAACAGAAGATGGCTCAAATGCTTGGGCCCCTGCCACTGACAAGGAAGATCTCTGTCTCCTTTTTCTGGCACTCTGCCTTTCAAATAAATAAACTATCTTCAAAAATGGGTAAATAAAAATAAACACAGACTTCTAAGTATAGGTTATTGAAGACTGGGTACAAATTATTTAAAATAGCTAGTTACAAATTATTTAAATTAAATGAATTTTCTCTAGAAAAAAAGTTAATCTTTGACAAATAATATATTATTTATATATGTTAGAAAGTAGAAATATGTGTTATTGTTGAGTATCAAAGTACATGCCATGTTAGCATGTATTTGATAGGACAAACTTCAGGATAACTGGATAGATTCCATTTAAAGAGTTTTGTTCTCTTTAAAAGTATTTTTACACTGAAAACCATGTTGTCTGGAAGTTAACATACGAAGCTTAGAAAATGCAGTAGTTTTGATGTTCCCTTATATTGTTTCAGGACCAGAGTGATTAACTGCTTTTGGCATCGTTTGAATTATTTTGAACATACAGTTAAAGTTGTCTCTAATGACTTTAACTAAGCCAAATATACATTATAGAAAAATAAAATGTTTCCCCAATGCTTCATACAGGTAGGAAGCAGAAAGCTTCAGAAGTCCATGGAGAAAAAGACAGGTATTTTTTAAATAGTTTAATTAGAATTACATGAAGCTAGAATTGGCTCTAAAAGTAGGTAATTGAAAGTTTATGATAAATTTATTAATCTTATAGAAAGATTGTTAAAAATATAAATCTCAAGTTGTCTCTGAGATAATTCAGAAATAATTTGGTTCTCCCTTAAATCAAAGCTCCATTTTCCAGAGCTTTGAAATCTGAAAGGTACAAAGCAGAAAGCTTTTCTTAGAAAAGGGGGAATTAATAAATTTTGAAAACTTTTTTTCATACCTTTTTTTCCTATGTTTTATTTTGAATCCTTTCTTCTTTGCTTCTCTGGTCTTATTTTACCATATCCACTGGCAACTTGAGATTTGCCTTTTTGTGAAAGGTCTTTCTAAACCTACTTACTTTAAGAAGGTATTTTGATTGGCTTGTAGAAATCTGTGTGCTTTGTGGCATTCTGCTATTAAACATTAATTCAAAATAATGGAATTTATTTACTCATTTCTATAATATAATATAAAATATGCTATATAATAAATACTTGGTCTTTGCTGTCCACTTATAATCAAATATGGTTTAGAATCATTGAACACACATAAATTTATCATTTGATTTTTAAGAAATAATTTAATAATTCAGTTTTTTGCTCTTTTTTAGGTATGTTAGAGCTGAAGTTCTGGCTGGCTTTGTCAATGGCCTATTTTTGATCTTCACTGCTTTTTTCATTTTCTCAGAAGGAGTTGAGGTATAGTAGATAATGATTAGAATTTTTTAATGATAGTTCTGTAATAAAAATGTTTATTACCTAAAAAGGCATGTAATTGAACAGTTTTAAATGATCATTATATATGAGAACAGTTTTGAATCAGACAAGATATTATCTGTATACAGGAGGAGTTTAAAAACAGTTGAAATTATTAAAATTAAGGGAAATTTTTTGAAATTGAAAGAAATGTCCATACTTTACAAGCTATGTATAAAGCGTTGACACTATGAAAAATAAAGGTACTAAACGGATATTTAGGTCAATTCGGAATGTTCTTAAAGAAAATAGAACCTGAAAGTTTTCCCAATGAATCTCTAATATTTGGTATTTTTTTTAAAAAGCAAGAAAATGTACATATTAATGAACTTAAAACTGGAGGTATTTTAAGATAATGAAGAGGATTAGGTTTGAGGCCAAATATTCAGACTTTAAAATATTTATTTAAAAATATACAATTGCTTCTTTTGCAGAATGTGAGGCCTGGTTTTATTTCTATAAACTATTTGACAGATATTTTTTGAGTACTTTCAATTCTGAAAGTTATTTGACATTTTTAATACTATATTTTTATCAATTGATCAATTAAAAGTTATGTCAATGTTATTTGTTTGTACTGTGTATTTTCTAGAGAGCATTAGCACCTCCAGATGTACACCATGAGAGACTGCTACTTGTTTCAATTCTTGGCTTTGTGGTGAACCTAATAGGAATATTTGTTTTCAAGCATGGAGGTCATGGACATTCTCATGGATCTGGTATGATGGTTAGGACCTTTTGTTTCTTCATTTCCTACTAAGTTTCTGTCAATTATTTACTTAAGAAAATTTAATAATTTTAAAGTTAAACTCTATATAATGTCTTCCTGAACCATTCTTCTTCTCCATTTCATTGTCTTCTCAGTTCAGTGTGGATTCCCTCAGATTTCCTATAGCTCATGTGTGTAGTGTGATATTATTTATATAAAACAGGTGTCAGAAAAATCACAAAACTAATCTGTTTCCTAAAAATTGTATTTGTGTGTGCATATGAAATTTATTGCATAATTGCTTTTTGAATCCTTCCATTTGGTATACATCATCTACCTTGTTTAGTTAACAGCCGTATAAAGCTCTATGATGTGGGTAATCCTGGTGTATTTAACCAGTGTTCTGTGGATAGATTTTAAATTGTTTACGTTTTTTTCACTAATCTATATGAAGCCTTTCTTTGTGAACATGTGCAAAAGTGTTTTCAGAGCTGTGTTGTCTTATATAGCACTTGTTAGTCACATGTGTCTTATTTCAATTTGAATTGTAGTCAATTGAAGTACAATATAGAAATTTAGTTCCTTATTCACACTATTGACACATCAAGTGTTGTCACATGACACTGCTGCTTTGGACAGTACATATGGAGAACATTTCCATCGACACGGAAAATTCTTTGTAGTATGCTAGGGTGTAGATAGAATTGTTGGAACATAGTATATATACATTTTTAGTTTCAATAAACATTTGAACATTTTCTTCCTGAATAACTGTCCTTCATATTTACTCCCAGGAATAAATGCAAGCACAAATTTCCTCCTGCTTACATAAGTGCATAATATTGTGTGAATAAAACTGTTAAATAGTGTCTGATTTTATTTATTTTCCAATAAGTTGAACATCTTTCTCATGTTTTTAGGTCATTCAGACTTTTCCTCTCCTGTGTATATTTTTGCTTGCTTTTCTGTTATTTTTAATATACTTATATTCATTTTTAATATTTTCTACTTTGATCCTTTGTTTTGTGTGTTGCAGACATCTTTTTCTAGTGTTTCTATCATTAAACTTTATGTAGGAATTCTTGATTTTGATATAGTTTAGTTTTTGTCTTACACTTTTTCTTGTTATGTTTTCTGCTTTATTTAAATAGTTTCCCATCCCAGGGTCATAAATATAATCTCTTATATTTAATACTTTAGAAATTTTGGTTTGATGATTTTTTTCCACCTACCTTTGGTTCTTCATCTACATAATTTATTTTGGATGAGATGAATTAGGGCTTAATTTTTTTTCTCCTAAGTATAAATAACCAGTTTTGTTATCACAATTATATACCTTATTATCTTAACAGCTGCTCTAGGGTTTACAAGTAGCATCTAAACTTAAGACAATCTAGTTTAGGTCAGTAGTAACTTAATTCAGTATTACACAAAAACTACCCCAAACCTCTGTTGCCCCCTCCCTTGTACCACTGTCAAAATACATGTTTATACAAGCCCATTGTATCTGTCCACATTTTATTACTAGAACAAAATATCCAAGGCAGGCTGCTTTATAAAGCAGATTTTTATTTTGGCTCATGGTTCTGGAGGTCCATGGGGTTATACCTGACAATGGCCTTCTTACTAACGTAATCCCAAGGTGGCTCAGGATATCACATTACTCAAGGCAGGGATGTCTCTTGGCCTGTCCTCCTAATCTTACAAAGCTACTCCTAATTAACTCTTAAGGGCTCCACCCTGATGACCATACCTAATTCTAATTATCTCTCAAAGGCCACATCTCCAAATACCACATTCAGTTCAGTTTAATACTTGTTTCAAACCATTGACCCTTGGGTGCACGCTTAAACCATATCCAAACCATAACTCCCATCAACAGTTTTATAATATTTATTTATTAATTGATATAATTAAAAAGGAAACAACTATCCGACATGGGAAGTGGGATACAAAGCAGTCTCATACAATGGCAGATGCCCTAAACAGCACTCTGGCCTCAGAATAAGCCCTTAAGGCATTCAGATGGCTAAAAAGCCCATGAGTGTTTCTCAGGCATGGAAAGCCAAGACACTGTGGCAAAAAATGACCTAAATAAAAGATCTCTGCGAGTGAGATCCCAGTGGAAAGAATAGGCCATCAAAGAAGAAGGTACCTTTCTCTGAAGGGAGGAGAGAACTTCCACTTTGATTATGGCCTTGTCTAAATAAGGTCAGAGTTTGTGAACTCAAGAGGCTTCCATAGCCTTGGCAGCTCATGGCAAGAGCCTTGGGTGATTATTGACGTCATAAATAAGAGTGTCAGTTGTTAAATCAACAACAGGAGTCACTGTGCACTTACTCCCCCTGTAGGATCTCTGTCCTTAATGTGTTGTACTATGCGAATTAACGGTGAAACTAGTATTCAAACAGTACTTTATATTTTGTGTTTCTGTGTAGGTGCAAACTGCTGAAATCTTTACTTAGTATATGCTAAGTTGATCTGTATATAAAAATAATTAAAAATGAATCTTAATGCAGAATGGGATGGGAGAGGGAGTAGGAGATGGGATGGTTTGTGGGTGGGAGTGAGATTATAGGGGGAAAACTGCTATAATTCAAAGGTTGTACTTTTGAAATTTATATTAATTAAATAAAAGTTTTAAAAAAAACAAAAAAATATTTATTTATGCAACTGTCTTTTAAACCACATAAGAAAATAATAGTGTTGAAAATGTGCGTACTCTTAGGGCTGGCTCTATAGCATAGCAGGTAAAGCTGCCTCCTGCATTGCTGGCATCCCATATGGGTGCTGGTTTGAGTCCTGGCTGCTCCACTTCTGATCCAGCTCTCTGCTATGGCCTGGGAAAGCAGTGGAAGATGGCCCAAGTGCCTGGGCCCCTGTACCCATGTGGGAGACCTGGAAGAAGCTGCTGGCTTCTGGCTTCAGATCGGCCTATCTCCAACCTTTGTGGCCATTTGTGAGTGAGCTCTACCTGTGCCTCTTTGTAACTCTGCCTTTCAAGTAAATAAATAAATCTTTTTTAAAAAATGTGTAATTAATCTTTCATATTACTTATGTTCCTTTACTAATGTTCTTTCTTCTTGTGGATTTGAGTTACTGATTAGTATCCTTTCATTTCACCCTGAAGGACTTGCTAATGTTTTTGAGGGACAACTTTTCATCTGGAAATGTCTTAATTTCTCCCTTATTTTAAAGGAGATTTTAGTTGAATATAGAATTTTTGGTTTAGTTTTTCCCCCTAACAATTTGATATCATCTTAATGTCTTTTGACAGCCATAGTTCCTTTTGAGAAGTCACTTAGTAGTTTTGTTGTGTTTCCTATGTACATAAGGTGTTTTTGTCTTGTAGAACTTCAAGATTTTTTCTATGTATTTGACTTCCATCGATTTGATCTTGAGGTCTCTATATAAAGCTTTTTTTTTTTTATTTTAAGATTTATTTCTTTATTTGAAAGTCAGAGTTACACAGAGAGAGAGAAGAGGCGGAGAGCGAGAGGTCTTCCATCTTCTGGTTCACTCCCCAGTTAGCCATAATGGCTGGAATTGTGCTGATCCAAAGCTAGGAGCCAGGAGCTTCTTCTAGGTCTCCCATGTTTGTGCAGGGGCCCAAGGACTTGGGCCATCTTCTACTGTTTTCCAGGCCATAGTAGAGAGCTGGATCAGAAGAGGAACAGCCATGACTAAAACTGGTGCCCATATGGGATGCTGGTGCTTCAGGCCAGGGCTTTACGTGCTGCACCACAGTGCGGGCCTCTGTAACTATTCTGCTATGACATTGTATCTTACTGCCAAGGTTTGTTATTCATGGTGTGTGTTTTTATTGTTGTTGTGTTATTTTCCTTCTAGGCTAATTAAGTAGATTTAATTTGTGATCATTGAGTTTTCTGTTTGTTGTAAATTTTAAGTTTTTGTTCTTATTTTTACCTTGCTTCCTAGAGAATCACATCTGAGCTAGTATAATTTGGTGGTCAGCCAGTGATTAGCATATTTCCTTAAATGCCTTGTTTATATATCTTCTACTTTTGCCTGCGGCATCTTTGTGAGAAAGCACGACTTAAATTTTAGGCAGTGTAAAAAAGACATCCTTTGCTTTCACTTCCTGCTTCTGAAGGGTTTCAAGGTCAATGAGAGATGAATGATGAATTCTTCCTTGTCAAGTCTTTCTTCCACATGTATACAGTGTGTGTATAACCTTTTAGATCCCCAGGAATATGTTGGTTTTCAAAGTTGCCTAGGGTTGTCTGCTTAGGCATTTCTTTTTAATTCTCCATCAGGCTCTTCTTTGCCACAATAGAAATCCCAGCCTTCTGCATCTGACTTACTACTAGGAATTAGCCATTGTTTTTAGTGATGTCCTGTTCCCAAACTTTGTCCTCCTCAAGCTGAGCTAGTCTCTTAAGATCCACATTGTTAAAATAAATTTTCCCAGGAAACTGAAAGTTTGGACAAAATATTGATTGTGAAGAAAGTGATGCTTTTAAGAAAGCACCAAAAGACATCCACTATTTCCTTATCTGTAATCCTGCCTGACTTTTGGCTACTTTGCTCAGGTGCCAGGAAGGAAGGTAGCATGGGAATAGTTTTAAATTTAAAGGTCAAAGATCTTGCTGTCTTACCATAGTTCAGTAGTTTCTTATGGATAAATGATTTCTAGTGTGTTTTGTGGTTGTGATTAATTGCCAGTATTCTGGGAATTAATATTGTTGGTTTATGGTATATTTTCATAATTTTGTTGTTTTCGAGAAGTGGTGGTTCACTGAGGTAATCCCTTCCACCATCCCATAGTCATGCATTTTTTCTTAAAATGTAATGCTGAATTTGTGCTGGTAATTAAAATTTTTGCAAACATGAGTGATACTTATAAATTGGGTAACATTCATTGTTTTTGTGTGCTTTTCAATAGACTCATTAAGATATTTCTTGATGGCTTGAAAGTTTTAATATAATGTTTCAAAACCTTCTTACTAAAGGCAGCAGCTTCTCTGTCTTTGTCTCATTGTGACCATTTGCAAATATTTTCTGTAATCTCTGTTAGTATGTCTGTGTTTTTACTGTTGTGTCCCAGTGTCTTTAACATAGTATAACCCAAATAAATATTTCTTGAATATACAAATAACTATCTTCAAATATTTCTGTGTCCTTCTAGTCAGTACTTATTTTCATTTCCAGGAAAGTCTGTCACCTCTTTTTATGCATTCACTTTTGTCCTGTAGTTTATAGTAGGAACTCGGGATTATTTAAATTAATCTATAACACTTCTAACAAGTAAATGTTCATTGAATTGAATCAGGCTTTAGAGAAGATTCTTTTTAGTAGTTTCAGCATTATTGTAACTATGTAATGTATTTTTCTGTTCTAACACTCTTTTTTAGGCCATGGACACAGTCATTCCCTCTTTAATGGTGCTCTAGACTCGGCACATAGCCATGGAGATCACTGCCATAGTCACGAAGTGAAACCTGGTGCTGCACATAGCCATGATCATGCTCATGGACATGGACATTTTCATTCTCATGGTGAGTATAGCCTAAAGATTTTCAGTTTGATAACCTTCCAAATACATAGAAATTGTGTAGGTTACTTTTCCTAGTTGAAGTAGTCTATTAAAAGTGTATTGTCATAAATTTTCTAAGTAATCAGTCTAAATGGTTTCTAGGCCTAGTTCATTTTTAGTATATCATGAAATTAACTCTTTTCAGTAAACATTGTAATAAAATTTCACTATTTTAAATGAATGTCAGTGAATGAGTAACAATTGCAATTCAGCAAATGAAAATAATTTTTTTAAGTATGATGAAGCCTATTGTGTTATATAAACTTATAAAAATACCATAGGGATTTTCAATCTATTACATTTTTTTTAATTCTTGATGTTTATTATCTAATATTTCTTTTTAGCCTTTTAACTTTTACAGCATTTATATACTAAGTTATAACTTATATATCAACTTAATATTTTATTTTAAATTATAGTTTAAACAGTTTACTCATAAATATCAGGGTTTAGATTCATAGGCGATAAGTTTAATTAATCTTTTTTTAACCTAGAAACCTTTTATTTAAGGTATATTTATTTACAGACTTCAAACATTTCATAAATATAAATTTAGGAATAGTGATTCTTCCCACCCTATCCTCTCTCCCACTCACATTCCCACCCTCTGTCTTCCTCCCTCTCCTATTCCCGTTCTTCTTTATATTAAGATCTATTTTCAAGTAACTTTATACACAAAAGACTAACCCTACACAAAGTAAAGTGTTCAACAAATGGTATTACAAAAAAATAAAAATAAAAAACCTGTTCTTCAGTAGTAGAGACAAGGGCTGTCCAAAGTTATCATATCTCAAAGTATCAATTTCACTTCCATAGATTATGTTTTGGATACTCTATTAGTTACCACAGATAAGGGAGAACATAGGACATTTGTCTTTTGGAGACTGACTTATTTCACTAAGTAAAAATGGTTTCTAGTTGTATCCACTTTGTTGCAAATGACCGGATTTCTTTTTTCTTTAACTGCTGTGTAGTTCTCTATGGTTTACATATCCCATAATTTCTTTATCCATTCTTCAGTTGACAGACATCTGGGTGGATTCCACATCTTAGTTCTTGCACATTAAGCTGTAATAAACATGGGGACATGGATAACTTTTTAATATGTTTATTTCTTTTGGTTTGGGTAAATTCCCAGGAATGGGATGGTTGGGTCCTATGGTAGGTCTATATTCAGATTTCTGAGGTATCTTCATACTGTCTTCCCCAGTGGCTGTACCAGTTTATAATTCCCACCAACAGTGGATTAGGGTACCTTTTTTCCTACATGCTTGCTAGCCATTTGTTGTTTGTTGATTTCTTCATGAAAGCCTTTCTAACTAGGGTGAGGTGAAACCTCATTATGGTTTTGGTTTGCATTTCCCTGATGGCTAGAGATCCTGAGCATTTTTTCATGTGTCTGTTGGCCATTTGGATTTCCTTTTTTGAAAAATGTCTGTTCAAGTCCTTTGCCCATTTCTTAACCAGATTGTTTCTTTGTTGTTGAAATTCTTAAGCTTTTTATGGATTCTGGATATTAATCCTTTATCAGTTGCAAGGTTTACAGATATTTTCTCCCATTCTGTTGGTTGCCTCTTCACTTTGCTGAGTATTTCTTTCACAGTGCAGAAGCTTCTCAATTTGATATAATCCCATTTGTCAATTTTGTCTTTAATTGCCCATGCTCTGGGGTCTTTTCCAAGTAGTCTTTGCCTGTGCCAATGTCTTCCAGGGTTTTCTCAATGTTCTTTAATAATTTGATTGCATCAGGTTGTAGATTTATGTCTTTAATCCATTTTGAGTTGATTTTTATATAAGGTGTAATGTAGGGGGTCTTGCTTCATACTTCTGCATGCTGAGGTCCAGTTTTCCCAGCACCATTTGTTGAAGAGACAGTCCTTGCTCCAGGGCTTAATTTTAGATCCTTTGTCAAAGATAAGTTGGTTGTAGATGCGTGGATTGATTTCTGAGGTTTCTACTTGGTTCCATTGGTCCACCCATTTTTTTTTTTTTTATGACAGTACCAGGCTGTTTTGATTAAAACTGCCCTGTAGTATGTCTTGAAATCTTGTATACTGGGGCCGGTGCTGTGGTATAGCGGGTGAAGCCACCGCCTGCAGTTCCAGCATCCCATATGGGTGCCGGTTCGAGTCCCAGCTGCTCCACTTCTGATCCAGCTCTCTGCTATGGCCTGGGAAAGCAGTGGAAGACAGCCCACATCCTTGGGCCCCTGCGCCTGCATGGAAAACCTAGAAGAGGCTCCTGGCTTTGAATCAGCGCAGCTCTGGCCATCGTGGCCATCTGGGGAGTGAACCAGCAGATGGAGGACCTTTCTCTCTCTGCCTGTGCTTCTCTATCACTCTGCCTCTCAACTAAATAAATAAATCTAAAAAAAAAAAAAAAAAAAAAATCTTGTATATTGATGCCTCTGGGTTTGTTTTTGTTATATAAGATTGCTTTAGCTATTCAGGGTCTCCTGTGTTTCCGTATGAATTTCAGCATTTTTTAATATCTAAGAAGAATGTCCTTGGTATTTTAATTGGGATTGCATTGGATCTGTACGTTGCTTTCAGTTGTATGGACATTTTGATGATATTGATGCTTTCAATCCATGGACATGGAGGATTTATCCCTTTTTTTTGTGTCATCTTCTATTTCTTTCTTTAATGCTTTATAATTTTCATTGCCGAGATCTTTGATGTCCTTGGTTAAATTCTTGAGTTATTGATTTCCAGCTTCATTCTGTTGTGGTCAGAGAAGATGCATGGTATGATTTTGATTTTATTGAATTTGTTGAGACTTGCTTTATGGCCTAGCATATGGTCAGTCCTAAAGAAAGTTCAATGCACTGGTGAAAAGAATGTGTGTTCTGAAACTGTAGGTTGAAAAGTTCTGTAGATATCCTTTGCGTCCATTTGGTCTATAGTGCAAATTAACTCTGTTGTTTCCTTGCTGATTTTCTGTCTAGTTGATTTGTCTGTTACTGGAAGTGGGGTATTGAAGTCACTCATTACTATCATATTGGAGTCTATGTCTCCTAAGACCTTTATGTTGGGTTGTTTCATAGTATCTCATAAATCTCCAACAATGTTTTTATTTTTCTAATTTCTAATTTTTTTTGGTCTGTTAAATTTTCAGAGATTTGTCTTCTAACTTGGATATTCTTTCTTCTGCCTCACCAAGTTTGTTGTTAAGGCTTTCCACCGCATTTTTTATTTGATCTATTGAATTCCTTATTTCTAATATTTTATTTTGATTTCTCTTTAAAATTTCAATTAATTCCTTTTCTGGCATCTCATCAATCTCTTCATCATCACATTCTGGTTTTGAAGGGTTGTTGTGTTCCTTTGGGGATGTCATGTTTTCTTCCTTATTCTTGTTTCTTGAATTTCTGTGTTTATTTTTAGGTGTTTGTTGAGATACCTGTTGGTTTTTTTTTTTTTCCCTCTGATTGCTTTTATCTTTGTAATGTGCCTCTGAGGCTTAGTGGAATGTCTTTTCTTTCACTGAATACTCAGAGGCATGTGCTGAGTGTGGCCAGGGTGCTTTATTCAGTGCTACAGGATGAAGGAAGTGTCTAAGCTGACACCCTAGTTGAGCATGGTAAATCTCCTTTTTTAATCAGAAAGGATTTGATCAGCTTTGTTGGTGCAGTCTCATGCTCACCCCCTCTCCTCCAAGGCCACCTATGCCCAGTTGCTAGCCCCAGTGGGTGCAATATTCATCCGCACTGCCACAGGAACCACATGAAGGATCTCTGCAGTCCTCGGTGTGAGCACAAATCTTACAGCAATGACCCTCCCCAGGCAATCAGGGAACCCCTAGTATGTGGAGCCGCCCATAGAGACTGTCCAGAAACTCAGCCACATCCTGTGTTCTCCCATGCAGCCACAGTGTTTCCACAGTTCCAGCACACAAGGCCCCCACAGTCACGGGGCATGGAGGATCCACTCTTCCCTGCCAATCTGTCCCGTCCAGAGAGGCAGAGACACTCTGAGAGCCAGATGTGTTTGGGTACTTTGCCCAGGCAGCCTAAGCCCCAGAGCCTGTGATGTGCTGGGAGGCTGGGGGCACCTCACAGTCCTACATGGGCACCCAACCCCCTGTCATTTCTCCCAACAGACTCAGGAATCTCCTCTTGGCTGGTTGCCGAGAGCTCAGACAAGCGGGTGCAGATGTTACGTATATCCAAAATAGCATCCGCCGTCTCCAGCTAGTTACTGAATGCTGTTGTTGGGTGGTAGGAGAGAGAGAAATATACCCCGTTCTTCCTTCTAGGTTAGCAGGTATACCCTCCCCACAGGGCTCCAGGTCTGACTCACAATTGGCCTTCCCCACAGCTTTATTACCAGTGGCTTGGGATGCTGAAGTCTGGTCTCACCTCACTCTCCAAAGCTGGTGCTGAGATTCTTGACTGTTGGGGTATTGTGTTGTGTTCATATTCATGCTGCGTGTCCACACCATCCATTTAGATCCATCGTGTCCCTTTAACTTGCATGGAGTTTCCACTGAAGTTTATCCTCCTAACTCTTCCCTGAGATTGCACTCTCTCCACCTTTTTTTTTTTTAACTGTCTTCCCGTTAGACTGGACCAGTAAGTACCCTCCTTATTCTGCCGTCTTGGATTCTCTTGATTAATCTTTAAATAGACTGTGCTTAAATATTATTTGTACTTGGTGCATAGACTCCTGAAGATTTAGATTTGAAAATATGATGGGAACCATGGGAACTGAAAATTCTAAGCTCTTAATTTTTTAGTCTTTAAATTTGTTAACTACCTTAATGAAATATAATTAATACACAAAAAGATATACATATTTATTGTATACAACTTGATGTATTTGGAGATAAATGTACCAGTAAAACTGTCACCTCAATTTATTTACATCATAGACATACCTATCACTATCAAAAATTTTCTCTTGTACTTTACTTATTCTTATTTACCTGTTTAGACTATAAAACTTAATATAAAACCTATCC